ACAGATAGCAACAGCTCATGTTAATCACTTTGGTGTGGTTTTATATTTTTGTAATCTAAATCAGTTAATTATAAATGTACGGTTATATTTTGAACTGTAGAGCTACTCCTGTGTAGTGGAAAATCTCAAAACTGCAGTTAAATTCCTAGAATCATCTTAATCAAATAGTCATTTTGGAGTGCCTGTGCAGCTTACAAGTGTGCTTTCAGCTTGCCAAATTCGTGGGCATGGGGAACTTCCAGAAGATTAGGACCAAATGTTAGCTTCCTCAATTCCTTCTTGTATGTGAAAAGGATTGGAAATCCAGTTTGCAACAGACACTGAATTGACAGCTTTAATAGTTACTGTGCAAGTTACTGGTACTCCACAGCTGGTTATGGTTTATCTACCATGAAATGGTGCTTAACAACAAACAGCTGTGCAGGAAATGACAGCCTACTGAAACAACCGTCGTAAAATATTTTTGGCCAGTGAACTTCCAATTATAAGTGAAAATCTTATTTATTCCATGTATTTTCTTCTTTTTTAGTGGCACTAAAGGTCCTATATAGGATTCAGGATGACACATTTTGTAAGTCTGTGGTCCTCAGCTTTTTCCATATTGGTGACAACTACCCCCACCCTGCCAGGCCTGCGAATGCCATCCCTCTGCTCAGCATCAGGTTGACTGAAATTCCCTCTCAATTCCTTGCCATTCCATGGTTGAGGTTGTCCATGGTTGTCACTGAGGGTAGCTACAGTGGCATAAAAATCCTTCTTCAGGAAAATCAATAGACTAACAATGAGATATATAACAAAGGAAGAAAAGCAAATGAAAGCCCAGAGTGTAGGATACAATGACATTTTCTGTCATCTTCCATGGTTAGCCAGTGGCTATCCTCTCCTGTGGCAGAGGGCAGGAGTCTGCCCTTCCCCACTGCAGGGGAAGTGCTGGCATTGTTCACACCATCCCTTCTGTTCCCTCTCAGGTGTCACAAAATGGGTTACAGTGAGTACAGGACATTGTAGTGAGTCAGTGTGTACCAGCTTCCAAGAGGAGCACAGCATTAGTGTATCCAGGTGTACTACTTTCAGGGCTGGGTAATTTTTAATTAACCCAGTGATTTTTTTTGTTGGAGGAATAAAGGTAATAAAACAACCCCAAGTGTTTGCAGGAAATAACAGGAGGAAGATTCAGTTTTCCAGCTTAGGAGGAGAAAAGGAAAAGGAAGAAATTGCTGGCTGTACATTCAGAAGAAAAGGAAGATCTTTCAAACTGCTGGGGCTTACACTTTTTTTTGCTGAACTCGTCTCAGCGTTTTTCTTCCTCTTCCTCTGTTGAGAAGTGTTTTATGATGGGGAAGTGGAAATCAACCTTACATAAAATCATTGCTTTAATTTTAAAATATTTTATACATTGGACTCCCAGTGCTATGAAACTGATAAGAGATTCCAGATTATGGATGACTGGGTTATTTCTCAAGTGATTGACATCAGTCCTCCTTCAGAACAGAACAGGGAAATGCAAGTGCAGGGACAAGACTGAAGTCAGGATTTTTAACTTGTCTTCTGGGATTGTGAGAGATGTGCATATTTTGGACATCCTTATTCATAGTCTTAAATGACAGTGGTCCTAAAAGTAATCTCATGAAAATAATAAAGCCACAACTATATTAGTTTCTGTTCAGTATAGAATTTACCTGCACCTTTATTTATCTGCTTCTCTGTGGCTGTTATTAGTATTCAAAGATTTTAATGGGACACTTCTGTGGTATTTCTGAAATGCTTTATAGTACGTGCCTGAAATGCATTTTTTATTGCATAGAGATTGGAAATAATTTCTTGCCCACCTAGATTTACTCAGAGAATTATTTTTGTGATCTGTGAAATCCACAGTTGTTTATTATTTTCACATGAAATCTACAACTTTTGTTTTGTTAGTTTGTTTTTGATAGAATACCGGGCTTTTAAATTTTTCCTAAAAGCGTGAAAATTAACAGTGTAGGCAAAGACTTTATTTTAACATATGTGGACATAATTTACTTGAGAGTATGGAAAAATACTTTTTGGTAATAGAGAGTACTTGAAACTACTTGGAAGATTTTAACTAAGGATTTTATGGCCTTTAGTAGGATCCATTAAGTGTATTCTGTAAAATAATGTTCTTAACAGAGTGCAGTGGTATTTGATGTGATTTCTTTCAAGAGCCCTAGTGCAGGGGTAGCCCCCAGACTCTTAGAGGAGGAATTCACTGTCTCCTGTTCACTTAAATATTTCCAAGTAGCAAGTAAGTGCTTCTTAAAGGAGTTAAAATAAACAGAACATTTTAAACAGTCGTAGTAAGAATTACTATATTTTTATGGCTATAATATGTATCTCAGATAACTCTTAGTCCTTTCAAAGAGATTGGAAGCAGTTCCTCAAAAAGCTGTACAAAATCAGAGCCCAGAGAGCTGTTGAAGGGTAGGAGAGGAACTAGGAGAGTGTGGTTCAAGGGCAAACGTCTCTTTCTTATACCTGTCTATAAACCTCACCAACGTAGGTTGAAACAAATTCAGTTTTTACAGGTAGCCAGTGGGTTTAAACATGGAAATACAGTCTTTCTCATTCTTTCAGAGTAATTAGAATAGTAAGTTTTTGTATATGTCACAGCAAGTATTTACAGCAGTGCCAGAGTCAGTCACTGCATAAAGAACTGGCTTTATCAAAAGAGTGGGCACAGAAACTGCATGGTGCATACTTAATTTCTCGGATTTGATATCTTAACTTTGAGGTATATTATTTCATACCCTCTAGGAGAGAAGTACAGCTTCATCAGCTGGTCTGGAAGGGAGCTGTGATGAGTACAGTGGGTTGTCCCAGCAAGGGAAATAGCAGAGATGTTTGTTCCTCATGTTTGTAGAGTTTTGACCTTAACCCCTCAAAATGGGATTGACTGTCTAAAAAGGACTTGGTTCCTTGCTGTCTGTTCCTGGTAACCCATGTCTAGTTTGTAATTACATAACAGCTGGAACACTGGAGAATTGTGTTTGCTCCATTTGATGTCGTAGGGACTTTGCATTGCAATATTGAGTGGCAGTTTTGATAGCTTGTTGATTGCTTGGGCTTTAGAGAGCCCTAGTTCATGTTATTCCTGTCTGGAACATGGCTGGATAACATCAGGACTACATTTCCAGTAAGTCATACTCAGATTTTTTTAAAAATTGTATGTAACTGTAATAGTAAGTACTCTAGCAGGGAGACTTTCTTCAGTTTATTTTTTTTTGTTGACTTTATAGAGTTCATCTCTGGCAGAAAACCTGCAGAGAATAACTTACCTTATCTAGCACTTTATCTAGAATAGCAAAAATAGTTGTCTGCAATTCACGTGTTCTCTCTCACAAAATGATTTTTTATTTTCTTGACAAAGTTGTTCTCTCTGCTTATATTGTGTGCCTGTTACATTGGAGTAGTGGTGGAATACTTTCAGTCCTGCAATCATGACTTCTGCAAATCCTATAAAGATGTTTGGAGAATTTTCATGGACACCAGTGTTTTGTTAAAATTTATGTCCAGAATCAAGTACAGAATGGGACCACAAGTTATAAGAAGAGCCTAGAAAAGAGAGGAAAAACAAATA